TAAATCCTTATATACCATTAACAATGACCTCTACCTTTTTCTTTTTTTTTATAGAGTTTCAGAGCTGTCTATACTAAAGACTATAGCTTACCGTCTCTGCCTCATGTCTGTTACTCCACTTTTCTGCTATAATTTGTCCACCTTATTCCCTCATTCCACTGTCTGCCCCGTTCACTGAGGCCTCTCTGCCACTGTTGCTGGAATCCTGGTATCTCTTCCTCTCCTTCTCTGTAATGTCCTTCAGCACTCTCTGTAGGGTTGGATTGGTGGCCATGAACTCCCACAGTTCCTCCTTGTCTTGAAAATATCTTATTTCTCCATTAATTTTGAGAGAGAGTTTTGACGGGTATATGAGCTTCGGTTGCATATCATTTTCTTTCAGGACTTGGAATATTTCTCTCCACTCCCTTCTTGACTTAAGAGTTTGTGTTGATAAGTCTGCTGTTATTTTGATAGTTTTCCCATTGTAGGTAATCTGCATCTTTTCTCTGGCTGCTTTTAATATTCTGTTCTTTTGGTGGATTTCTGGAATCTTTATTATATGTCTAGGCGTAGATCTGTTTTGGTTGTAGGTAGCTGGTGTTCTATATGCCTCTTTTATCTGGATATCATTTCTTTTTGCTAAATATGGGAAATTTTGCTTTAATATATCTGTGAATATTCTTTGTATTTCACTATTGGTTGCTCCTGCTTCCTCACTCACATTCTTTATTCTTAAGTTATGTATCTTTTTGTCATCTTCTAGTTTTTGAATTGCTTCTTTCTGATTCCTTGTTATTTTTAAGAGGCTTTTTCTTTCATGATCATATGCCATAAATCTCTCTTCAAGTTTCAGAAGGCTGTCTTTAGTTTCTGTCAAGGCATTTTGCCAGTGTTCAATGGAGTTTTTAGTTTCCTGGTATTCTCTTTGGATCTGTTTCATGCATTCTAAGTTATGTTTAAATTCTTCTTCAGAAGTTTCTCTTTCTTTTCTGATTTCCTCAGTTCTTCCGTCTGTGTTCTCTTGGGCGGGGCTTGTCATTTCTTTAATTAATCTCTTTATATCTTGCCTCACTTGAATCAGGAGTACAGCTTTAAATTCTTCTATGAGATCATGAAGGTACTTTTTAATTTCGGCTGATGCTGTGTCAAGCAATGGATGGTTACTGTGCTTGTTCTCTTTGGTGTTTACTTCTCCTGGGCTTATTTTCTCATCTTAGCTGGAGATTTTTTTTATTTTTATCTCTTGTCATGTTTCTGGTTTCTTTCAGACTGTCCTGGGGTTCTATGGCCCTCTCCGAATTGCTTAGGGCCTTTCAGAAGCGTGCTGACTTGAGTTTTTGCTGTCCTCCTCAATTTGCTGTTATCTGGGGTAGGCTGGGATGCAGGGGTGGTACAGGCTAGTCTCCAGCCTCTGCGCCAGTCAATCCGTAAATTAGGCTGTACTTTCTGGATGTCACTGAGTTGTGACTATTTTGTTATCTGCTTGTTGGGCCCCAAGCAGAGGCTTGGTTTAGCCCCAGTAGCTCCTGCCGGTTCTCTTTGTACCAGAAGCAGCTGACTAATGTCACTATGGCACAGGGTCCTGCCCAAATCCCAGCTGTTCTCTTCCAGACCTCTCTGTGACAGGAGCACCAGAACAGCAGAACTGCCCAAATCCAAGATGTCTCCCACTAGTTCTCTCTATGACGCTGAAGCCAACACATACTCAGGCTCTGCCCAATTTCAAGATGCCTTTCACCAGCCCTCCTACAGGGGGACTCAGTGATGCCACCGAGCTGTAGGTTCTGCCCAACTGTAAGATGGCTGCCACCAGACTCTGTGATATTGATGTCCCCGTGGTGGCAGGCACTGCCCAGTTCCAAGACGTTCTCTGGCCAACCCCAGCAGCCGCGGGGTCCCCAGCACTCACCAGGGTCCACGCCGCCCACCTTTCCCGCGCTCCCGGCACAGCGCGGAATGGTCAGAAATCCGCACTGCGTGCGCTCCCAGTACAGCCACCATGGAAGTTTGATTGAACTCACTATAAAAACAAACTGGGGAAGCGCCCCAGTGTTGGCTAGGAGGAGAACCAGTGTTCCTGAGATCTGGCCATGGTGGGACTTACGCAGCTTATTCGTCCGCCCTCTTGGTAAGTGTCCCCAGCGTGGGCCAGGAGGAGAACCAGTGGCTCCCATGAGCCTACTGGTGTGGGCTGAGAATCAAAACATGCTCCTCCCCACCCCCCACTACTGGGGATAGATGTCTCAGCATGTCTTGGAAGGATGACTGTATGCAATACAGCAAATATGGGGGGATTTCCTTCTGTCTTCTGTTTGAAGGCAAAGGTTGTTTTCACTGTTTTGTTTCTTTTGCTCTATTCAGTACTCTCAACTGGTTTTTATAATGTTCTGCTTTTGGTTAACTGGTTTTTATAATGTTCTGCTTTTGGTTTGATTTCGGTATACCTAATTGACTGGACAACTATTGTGAAGATAATAAGATATACCATAGTACCTATTACTACCATTCCAGTATCCTACTGTGAAGTTCTGTACCAGTTTTACTGCATTGTCTCTATTGACTGTTCTGTCTTGTTCTCTTGTACTTTTGTAACTTTCAAAATAAAATTTTTAAAAAATTTACTCAACATAAAAAAAAAAAAATGGGGGCCAGGGATACAGCTCAGCAGCACAGTAACTGCCTGGGAAGCAAGGTCATTGAGTTCCATTCCTGGTACAAAAAAAAAACCCAAAAAACAAAAACAAACCCAACTCAGCCTGAAGTTTTCTCTGTGGGAAGGCTTTATTTTGCATTAACTATGTGAAATATAGGAAGTGTTTGTGATAGCTCCTTGTAACTGGGAGCTATTCCTGGAAAATTATTCTTGAGTTTTATCTATTAAAGTTCCAGTTGACATTCATGCAAAAACTTAAAAAGATGCCTCTGCATGGTGGCTCATTCCTGTAATCCCAGCACTCACTCGGGAGGCTGAGGCAGGAGGACTGCTCCAAGTTCAAAACCAGCCTGGGCTACTAAGTGAGCTCAAGGCCACCCTGAACTGCGCATTGACAGCCTGTCTCAAGAAGCCCTCTCCTCCCAAAAAAGATATGCCTTTGCAGAGTTCTAAACACTTTCACTATGTAACTCCCTCCTCTCAGGGACACTGACCTTGAATGTTGATTCATGTTCCCTCTGATCTAATTGTTTTCCTCTATTCTGTTCCAGGTGGGTTCACACCATTGTCTGGAAATTGCCTCTAGGAAAAGAATGTGACCTGTAGTGGGACTTCCTTTTATCTCTTAACTTTTTTCAGACACCATAGTTTTGCAGTGCTTACGGTACATATAATGTCTGAAAATAACTGCTTCCTATATTTTTTCCAGCTTTCTAGTTGTTTGTGATAGCAGCTGTTGCTTCTTCATGGTCAGCAGAGTTCCCACCCAGGGAGTTATGAAAAAACTAACAATCCCAGTCCCCAGAGGTGGTTCACTACAATGAGGCCTGGGAATCTGTGTGTTTAAAGTGGTTTTTATACACAGGTATGAGAACCACTGTACTAATCATGCATTAAAAAGTTACCGAATGTCACTTGAAATTATTAGTTTTAGCTTTTTTTAATCTATAGAAATGAGATTTTCCATGTCCTGTCTTTAAATGATTTAAAAAATAATGCCTTGAACATTAAACTTGAACTGATCAACATTACTTACAGAAACCTCACCTTATTAGAAGTTTATGATGCTTGGGACTAATGCTTTACCTTTATTTACATCTTTGAGTTTTTAGAAAAAGTCTGATTAACAGTGCATAAAGAGGTAGGCTCAGGGATTTAGCTCAAGGACATAAGTGCCTGCCTGGCAAGCACAAGGTCGTGAGTTCAATCTTCAGTACCCAAAGAAATCCACAAAAAAAAAGTAGTGCATAAAGAGCATTAAATCTGCAGGTCAAATATGGGATTTCCCCTTTGCTTTCTTTTTAAATTAAGACACAAAATATTGCATATACACACAAATACAAAGTCACTGACTTTGAACACCACAATTGCAGAAAGAGCCCAATTTTACTCTAAACGTGATAGGAAATTATAAAGTTTACCAAAAAAACATATAGCCAACAGCTGACAATGTTTCCAGGCGCTATTACTTTAGGGACAAAATGGTCAAGGCTATATCACAGGATACTGAGTTTGGGGCTTTCTCTCCTTTGGTTGCTCTCATCTATGTGGAAATAATCCCTCTCAGCCATACCTTCTAAAAGTGGCTGGATAAAGGACGCAATAAGTTGCCAGGCAAGCACAAGATCAAGTTCAATTGCTGGTACCCAAAAGAAAACAAAAAGAGACACAATAAGAGAACCTCTGGAGCATCCCAGAGAACAGCCACCTATCCTGCTTCTGGTCTACATTCTCACAACAACAGGGATCAGCGATGTCCTTGTACTAGACCAAGATGACACATCTCTAAACTCATGCCTTGTGCAGATTCCTCCCGCTCTGAATCTGAGCTACCCTGTGACTTGCTTGGACCAAAAGAAAAAGCCAGAAGTTTCACTGTTCAAATTCCACACCGGGATCTGGAAGGATCTCCTGGAGCTATGAAAAGCATGGTGAGTAAAGGTCCAAAAAGAAAGATTCTGAGAGCACCGCCTAGCATCCTGCTGAACTCAGACCCCAGGCCATAATCCGGGTAAGCACAGGTATAGGAGTGAGCCCAGGCACAGCTACTAATGAACCACACAGCCAACCCAAAGTAATGGAAAATAATAAAATTGCCATTTTAAGCCAGTAAGTTTTGAAATATTTGCTATCCAGCAGAAGCTGCTACATGACAACTATACTTTGAGAGGTATTTTAGTTTTTCAGAAATATACTATAACATTATCTCAATTAAAGATATTCACAGTGCTTTACGAAACAAATCCCAAATATATCCTTTTGAGTAGTTATCTGCCTTCCTGATACATGTGTGAATGATTTTGAAGTAGAGGAGTTAACTTCAGACTATGAGTCCCTGTAGCCTTCAGCAGCCCTGGGAACTTACCTGCATGGGACTTACAGCCGCCGCAGGAGGGGTTTTCATGGGACTTGGACTCAGAGGTGTTCGAGGAATTGTAGCTGCAGCAGGGTTTGGTACTATAAAAACAAGTACATACATAATGAATGCAATAAAAGGCTTTCTTAACTGGCCTCTGTTTAAGGACTCACCAAATTTGTAGGGGGTTTTTGGTTTGTTTTGCTTTTTGAGACAGGGTCTTGCTATGTAGTACAGGCTGATCTTGAACTCACTATGTAGTCCATGCTGGCCTCAAATTCTTGGCAATTCTCCTGCATCCACCTTCTGAGTGCTGAGATTACAGGTGTGCACCACCACAACTCGTCAGGATTCACCAGTTTAACCAATATTCTCAAATCCCCATAGAAATGTTTCAGCTGATGCCTAACCCAGCTAAACATTCATGGCTATTCCCTGAGAGACAGATATTTGCTTTCACAAGTCAGTAATTTCAGTTTTGCTATTTAATTATGTAGTATGCTAACAAGATTCATAAACTAGTGAAATTCAAATATCCCTCCTTCCCGCAAAAGAAAAAACCCCAACCCAAGAGTATAGTTCAGTGGTACAGCACTTAACTTAGTACGCACAGCTCCTGGGTTCAATCACTAGCATCAGAAAAAAATTAAATTAAAATTTAAAAATCTCAACAGTGAGGTGGGTGTGGTGATACATGCCCATAACTCCACTCTGGAAGACAGAGGCAGGAGAACCCAAGTTCAGTTCCAGCCTCGACAAAAGATCAATTTAAACAGACTCTATCTCAATACTTTTAAAAAGCCTAGGAGTGGAGCTCAGTGTGAAGGCCCTGGGTTCAACTCAAGTATCAAAAGTGAGAGGAGGGGAGAAGAGAGGAGCTTTATGTAGTAACTAATGTTCAGTAACTGTGTATTAACTAAAACTAGTGAACTGCTCACCTCATCTCACTTTCTCCTACGAAGTGATCACTTTACCCCATACACATCTTCTGATTTGCACTTAACACACAGATGTGTTTGCATAACAGTATCTCTCTCTAGATTGAACTATTCAAAAGTAGTTTTACCCAATTCATTCACTTATTAATTTCCAGATACTTGATCTTAGCATGGTTTTTAGTAAAGGCCACATAAACATGGTTATTCATTTGAAGCTGAATCAAAATCAAAATGGGACATACAAACGAACATCAATGTGGCAAAGATGAAGCAGACCATTATGGGCCCTTTTATAAGCCAAGTGCTTATATTTAAAATTGACATTTTTAAAGATTCTCTTTTTTACTAAGATAAAATACATATAACACAAAACCTTTTTTATTTTTTACTGGGGATTGAAATCACAACCTTGCTTTTGCCAGGCCGGTGCTGTGCCACTGAAATATATCTCTGGCCCCTAAACTAACCTTTATTTATTTATTTATTTTGTTAACAGGAATTGAACTCAGCAGGTGCTTATGCCATTGACCTATATTCCTGATCCTAAACTAACCATTTTTAAATGTATAGTTCAGTGTTATTTAGAATATTCACAATACTGTACAACTATCACCTCTATCTAGCCTAAACAAAGCCAAAAGGAAACACAGCAGCTATTAAGTAAGTCTCTCTCACCCTCCCCCAGCCCCTAGCAATCACCAATTTGTTTTCTGTCTCTATGAACTAAAACGTTCTGAATACTCCATATAAATGCCATCTTATAATATGTGGTCTGTTATGTCTGGCTTCTTTCACTTAGCATAATATTACAACTTAGCATAAAATCATATTCATGTTGTAGCATCTAACAGAACTTCATTCCTTCTTATGGCTGAATAATATTCATGATATAGATATAACACATTTTGTTTATCTATTCATCTTCCTTCTTCTCGAGGTTACTGTGAACAGGAATGTTATTAATATTTATTAGTTTAAACACCTTTTGATTCTTTTATAACTAGGAGTGCAATTTCTGGGTCATTTAGATGTATCTTATTTTAAAATAATATATATATAAATTTTTAAAGATCAGCAAAGCCTGTTTTGTTACCATTGTGCATAGTTGCAGTTTTAATTTCATATATAAGTCATTACTATATAACCAGACTAACGTGTTAAGTCTTCATTTTATCTTACCTCATAATATTACAAAGAAGTATCTACTCACAGCAGTTCTGAGGTAACTTTCTTGTAATTTAATTCCAAAATAATATAGCTCTCTATGTACTTTAAAAAAACTTGTTATAAAAGATTTCAGATATATTTAATATCAGGGCTTCAAGATCTACTTCATCCTTAATCATTAAAAAAACAGAAATAAAAAGGCCTGATTTTGATGTGCTTCCAAATATGAGGCACAGTGTAGTTGTGGATGGAGGAAGAGTGGTCAAGCTGAGGCAGGAGGTTAGGCAGAGGTCAAAATTTGCAATACCCGTTGGTCTAAATCTCATTCCAAATCTCATGTGGTAATTAAATGATTTTAAGCAAAAAAGGCCTATTATGAAATGAAATGGGAAGATTAATTAGGAGGTTACTGAATTGAGTAGCTGATAGGAGCTTGAACTAAACAGACTGTGTCATTAGAGATGGAAAGAAGCAGACGTGGCCAGGTATAGTGGCACATGGCTGTAATCTCAGCACTGGAAAGGCTGAAGCAGGAAGATTGCTTTGAGTTCAATTCCAGCCTAGGCTTTATAGTGAGTTCAAGACTGCCAGAACTACGTAATGACACCCTGTTTCAATAAAAACAACCAACCAACCAAAGGAAGAAGCAGACTGAGCAAAGATCTATGTTGAAGACTGAATCAAACAAAACTTGCTAAGGATAAATTAGGTATGAATAGAATGGCGGCTAGAATGGTGCTGCCATTTATAAATGGGGAAAAAATGAGGCTAGAGAATAAAATTTGCCTTTATTAAGATGATCTCATTGACAATTATTAAGAATTTTCATGGATTTTTATCTTCTATCATACCAGAAGACATATGATAAGTGATACAACTATATACCCTTGGTACAACGGACAGAGAATTACCTTGAGATGCACTGTCAAAGGACTTGATGAGGGTTTTTACAGTAGGGGTTGGCTCTGAGGAAGTTGAGGATCTTCTGCTTAGTCCCATCCCTTGCCTTAAGGCTGCCAAATCTCGCTCAACAGCATTCATGTAGTTGTATACTCGACCTCGCTCCTCTTCTTGCCTTAAAAAAAATATTGAAGTACAGGAATTTTTAATATACAAAGGTCCACCCCAAAAATGTATACATCAGGAAAAGAAAAATTTGTATAAACATTTTAATACTAAATTTAACAAGACATCATGACATTAATAAAAGTTACCTTTGGCCTCTAGTTCTACTCAAAGTGGTAACCATTAGCTTCTAGACATTTGTTAGTACGAACTGCTAAAGTGTGTACATATTTTTTGGCAAACTGTTCATAAGATAACACACATTTTCCCTTCCCAACTGAAAAGCATTAAAAGTTTTGTGGAGGGTTTGAAAATTGCATCGGTTGAGCAGAGTAGATTACCTGGCCCAATATTCTCATTTGCTTGGTAAATACCAGGAAATGATATTAAAAAAAAATTTCCTATCAAGTTATCCTAAGTAAGTTAAATAACAATCAAATTCCATTTTTATTGGATAAGTGTCAGGTGAGGACATCAGTAATCAATTAATAGTAAAATGAGAGGCAGATCAACCACAGAGCCTGACTCAGGACTGGGAATCTCTGATTCTGTGCTGCCCAAAGGTCTGGCCCTTCTCCAAAGTCTGGAAACTCGTTAGCGCATGTGGATAACCTATGCTGGCTCTAGCTAAATAAAATGCTGTGCTTGGATATGGAAATACAAAGAAACAAAACCAAAGCCCACCCTCTTAAAGAACAAAACAAGGGGCTGGGGATTTAGCTCAGCGGCATAAGTACCTGCCTTGTGAGCAGGCAGTCGTGAGTTCGATCCCTGGTACCGATAAAAAAAAAAAACGAAAGTGCTATAGAATACAAGTCGAATTTCTACAAAAAAAACCTGTTCCCCTGATGGTAACATGACTCCCCCTAGCAGCTTAGTAGATGCATCCTGAGTCATCAGAAAAATCAATTACTTCATTCTGGCCCTTTCTAATTCACTGAGTTGACTGACATAAAAGCTTTTCCTGGAATGAGATTATAAAGTCTGAGGGTGCACATGTCATAATACTATCAAATATGCTTCTAGGGACAAAAATTAAGCCAATTCTTAGAAAAATTTGGCCATTTGGTATGCAAGTAGGTTTTTTTTGTCTAAAGATGGACGACAGTTTCATGTTCAGCTAGTTATTAAAACTAAAAGTTTTGGGCATTTGTTTTTTCTAGTACTCGGGTACTCTACCACTAACCTACAGCCCAGCCCTTCTTATTTTTTTATTGTGAGACATGGTCTAAGTTGCTTGGTAGGACTCTTAACTTGCTATCCTCCTGCCTCAGCCTTCCTCAGGGGTGGGATTACAGGTGTGCCACTACATCCAGCTGATTTAAAAGTTTTAATAAGGAGTCTCTAACATCTTTCTGCTCCTAAAAATGACTGATGACCTCAAATAGCCCTGGTTTATGTAAGCTATCTTCCATTAAATGAATTAAAGCTAAGAAATACAAAAAAAAATTTAATTCATCTAAAAACAACAGTAAATCTAGGACTTAATATGAGGAAAGTACTTTTACTGAAAATGAAAAAAATGACATTTTTCAAAGCCAAAAGAAAAATTAGTAAAAAGCCTACCAGTGTTTTCTACTTCTTAGTATTTGTTTAATGCCTGGCTTAGGAGACAACTAGACTTTCACTTCTTCTGTATTCAATCTATGGAGGTATGAAAAGGCAGATTTTGAATAGCTAGATGCTTGCAAAAAGCAACGCTGTTTTATAAATCTTTAACTGTATTCTTTGGTAATACCCTAAAAAATGGCTGGGAACATAACCTGGTGTGGAGTACCTGCCTAGCATACACAACCCTAATCCCTAGCACAACACAAACACAAAATTAGTTGCAGGGCTGGGGATATAGCTCAGTAGCACAGTACCTGCCTGGCAAGCGAGAGATCATGAATTCGATTCCAATTACCAAAAAGTCAGCTCAATGCAGAAGCTAAAACTATATAAGTAAACCTCCCCTATTCGGTCCAATAAAATCCACTGATCTATTGTACATTTCTATATATATATTTCTTTACTTTTTTTGGGGGGGTGGACCAGGGATCAAACTCACAACCTTATGCTTGCTAGGCAGGTGCTTATGCCACTGAGCTAAATCACCAGCCTACTGTACATCTCTAAAAGATATTTTGCCTATCCATGATCTTGTAATATCATGCATTAGTCATAAGGAAAATACTGGCTCAATTTTACAAAAGCTTGTTATTATAAAATATATGTAAGTCATATAATAATATATATTAATATCATCAATGACTGCATCACAAAGCTCTTTAAATATGAGAAGCTGCCAAGCTTCCAATGGCAAATAAAAGTTTTCCAAAATCCTAACATTCACTTGAAAGCTCAACTTTATCACCAGCAACAAAAACTATTATTTACAAGAAACATCCAGCATCAAAGCTGAGATACGATACTTTGTTCGCCAGCTATTCTCAAGTAAAAATGATGGGGAGGGTGAGGGTAGCTCAAACAGAAATGATTACACCATTTGAGAGACAGTGGCAGGATTGCCAAGAGTTTAAAACCAGACTAGAGGGACTGAGGATTTAGCTCAGCAGCATAAGCACCTGCCTTACAAGCAGGCGGTTATAAGTTCAATCCCCAGTATGGGGGCGGGGGATGGGACAAAAAAACCCCAGACTGGACCACACAGTAAGACCCTATCTCAGAAGATAAAAACAAAAACAAAACAAAAAAAAAATGAATATTTTAAAATAATCACAGTGTTCATCTCAAGGTTACCTCACACTTGAGTACAGAACACATTAAACACAAGTACTTTTAACTTCCCATTTTCTCATGTGGGCAGGTAAAATTAGAGTAATCAAGGCTTGAGATTTAAACACGATTAATAATTTATCTCTTCAAGAATAATATCTTTAAAATGAAACCTGCATTTTGTTTTGTTTGGAATTTTCTTGCTTTTTTTGTTTTGTTGGGATTTTTTTGTTTTGTTTTGTAGGGGTTTTTTTTGTTTGTTTTTTGTTTTTTTGCTTAATGCCTGTGTGTGGTGACAAGTTCAGTAACTGAGTACAAATCTGGTGCCGGACCTGGATTTCACCAAGTTTACATCTGCTTTTCAGTATGAGAGCAAAAGTTAGCAGAGTGAAAGCACAAAAAAATGTTAGTGTTATTATGAAAACAGTACTATATGAAAGGGTTTTGGTGAGACCTTGCAGTCTGTAGAACTTCACTCTGAAAGGTACTGCTCTACAAGATTTTGGTACTTGTTTTAACTATGGGTCACAAAGACCAAAGAAGTTTCAAGATTCAACAGAATGCTCCTTTAAGAGTAAAATTTCAGAGCTAGGGGCATAGCGCATTTGTAGAGTATTTGCCTAGTGCCTTAGTTACTTTTCTTTCATTGCTGAGACAAATAATGCCTGAAGTTAAGGGAGGAAGGATTTATTTAGCTCACTGTTTGTAAAGGTTTCAGTCCATAATCAGCAGGCTCCTCCAAAGGACAGTGGCACACAGCAGAGGGGCAACTGTTCACGGTGGCAGAAGACAGCAAAAGCAACAACAGACCTTAACAGTGTCTTTTTGCCCTTTACCTTATCCAGTCTACCGGGATCAGAGTGGTGCCAAAACAAATAGTGGACTGATTTAATGGTCATACACTCTTAATGCCAGCATCTAGACTCAACCACCTCTGAAAAAGCCCTATGACTGCATAGGGGGTACATTTAGACACAAACCGTAACACCAGCATGCACAAAGCCTTGGAATTAATCCCCAGAACCACAATCAATTTAATAAAATTTCATTCAGGATAATTCAATGAGCCACTTTGCGGGGAGGATCCTTTCTAAGACAGAGTCTCACTGTGCTGTTCAGACTGGCCTTGAACTCACTTTGTAGCCCAGGCTGGTCTCGAACTCACAGTAATCCTCCTGCCTCAGCTTCCTGAGTGCTGGGATTACAGGTGTGCACCACACCTGGCTGAGGCACTTCTGATATGCTATTCACTGAATAGTATTCAAAGGGGAAAAAAGAAAAAGCAATCTAAATTTTGTACCAGTGGCCTCTGCCTCACTGTAAGCTCTGCTTAAGGAAGCCAGTGAATGCTTAGCAATATTCTTCACTGAGCCATACACAAGGACTAGGCAATAATAAGACAGATTTTCAAAGATAAAATGTTTTTCTATGCCTACTTAATTAAAGCTAGAATCTGATTCTTTTATTTGCTTTTGTTTTGATGTTTATTTGTTTTTTGAGACAGGGTCTTGCTATGTAGTCCAGACTGGCCTACAAGTCACAAGTCTGCCTTAGCTTTCTGAGTGCTGGGATTCTGGGCATGCAACATCCAGCTTCAACCACCCCCACCCCACCCCGCCGCCGCCCCCAGTCAGGGTCTCACTATGTAGTTCAGGCTAGCTTACTCACTATGTAACTCAGACTGGCCTCAAACTTGTACAATCTTCCTACCTCAGCCTCCAGAGAGCTGGGATTACAGGCATGCACCACCATATCCAGCTTCAAATTCTTCATATTAACCTCAAACTCAGAAATACTATTCCCTGCCAGGTATGGTGGCACATGCCCGTAGTCCCAGCCCTCTGGGAGGCTGAGATAAGTGGATGATAAGGTGGTGCCCAACCTGGAAAATTTAGCAAGCTCCTTTCAACCAATCAGTCAGTGGGCCAGGCATGTAGCTCAATGCAAACACCCTAGATTTAAACCCCAATACGTCCAAAAAATAAAATACTACCCCTCAGTCAGAGATGGAATTTCACTATGAAGTTCAGAACATACAATGATCGCACCTGAACTAGTAATTTTTATGGGTTCCTAACCATCTCTGAGTTAGACGAGGGAAAATACAGTGGAGATTCATGGGGTTACAGGACCAAACAAGTGAAAATCCCACACATGAATGATGGAGATAAATCTCTCTCTGCATTCTTTATTTGGGTTTCTAAAAATACTAAAGGCAGCTCAAGTTTGCTGGTCATTGCCCTGAGCATTTTGCAGGCATTACCTCATTTGCTCCTTACAACAACATTCTAAAACAGTTAGTAGTATTTCCATTTTAAAGATTTTTGAGAACACTACGACTCAGGAACGTTAGGGCTGCTGACTGAAGTCACACAGCTAGGAATTGGCAAGGCTGGACAGGAGCTACATTTGCTCTTTATAAGACTACAATCTAAAAGAAAAAGAATGGGGCTGCATTAAAGGATGAGGAAAAGGAGAGTCATAATGTATTCTTATGCCAGGTACCATTCTGGGCCCCCCTGGAATTGCTTATCATTGACACAGAAAACAAGCCTGAAAATCCCATACAGATTGTGGTACTTTACAGGTGTCCTAAAACTGAGAGCCAGAAAAGTTAATTTCCAATAAATTCAAACTCAGTAGTGTCAACTTCCACAGTTTTCCCATAATAACACAAAATTGCAGTTTATGTGTTCTCTACCGAAACACAGTAGAGAAGTGATTTCTCAAGACGTACTTGCGTGATTTTATTTCCTCTACTTCTTTCGTGAGTTTCTCATTTTTTTCCTGAGCCTCATGTAACCGGCGCTTTAGATCGCCAATCTCCTCTTGGGCTTCGGATTTAATGTCATTTGCAATGACTACTGCAGTCTGTAGATCAGCTTGAAACTGCCGCCATTCTGCAGATTCCTCCTATATTAAAAAACTAAATTTTTATTTCCAAAAGAGAGCAATGCAGATTTACTGAAAAGAAATAAAATTTAATTGGATTGCTACAATGTGCTGTACTCCCAAATGATGACTAATTTTTGTTAATCCCAGAGAATGACTATTGCCTATTTCTAACAGGACATGCAATGATCTGTGAACTTACACTTAATGAGGAAAAGATTTTCCAACTCATTTGCTTACTGATGCATCATGCACTCAGAGTACTCAATAAATATTAATGATAATAATGTAAAGCCTCCCTTCTTCAGACAAGCTTTAAAGCAAGTCTCATGGAAAAACATCTAAAATTTAGTTTTACCTATGGGAAGCTCAAAAAGGTATATGAATAATATACAAACTATACAGTAAAATCTATAAATATCCTGACATCAAAGACTAACAGAAAAAAATCTAAAGTAAAGGAAAAGGAAGAGGAAGCCATAAGAAAAACAGTGAACTCAATATAGGCAAACAAAATTATACAAAGAGCAGTAAGGGAATGTATAGTCTGTTGCTTCCCACAGACATGGGTGTGGCCGGGGTGGGGGAGTCTCCCCAGGGCTTCACCTTCATCCAGAGCCACAGCTGGCCCATGCCTAAAATCTCTCACTCACAAAACAATTTTCTGGCATCTTGAAAGCACCCTCAACAACTGTGATATAACCTCAATTGAGATTAGTACTCCCCTTTTACACACATGCACACACACCCCACAGTAGTAATGCTGCTGGCAAGCTAATCAAATCCACAGAATAAAGAAAACTAATGCAAACACAATCTAATTTGGAACACTTTATAATCAAAAACTAATAAACTTTCTCTCCAAAGTATAATGTGCATTTCCTAAATCTATTTTCCTAAAATTGCTGCCCATAAGTTATTAGTACATTCTCTATCCCTAGTGTAGCACTGGTTCCAAGTCAAAATGATAGTCACTTGCTTTCTACCCAAAGCCAATGGAGCCAACATCATCCATGTACCTAAAGTTTAAGGTGAATGATAACATGGTCAATGACCAGACCTTAAGTTTTGAGAAATTATTGTCTAAAAAGATAATACATGAAGATTTACCCTACCCGAAGTCTCCTGTGAAGTGTCTTAATTTCTCTTTCCATGTCATGTTTTTGGTCCTGGAGTTTTTTAACTGTATCTGAAAAGACCATAAAAGTTTAAATATTCTTAGAGCCATGTTGAAAAAGAAATATGCAAGGAGAAGAGGTGCTTAAATATGACATTTTAAAAAGTTATCTTTCCCAAATACACTCTCTGCAAAATATCAATTTAGCATTATGATTTCTGCACCTCTTAATTTTCAAACAAAAAATTAACTAAAATCAACCGTTAAAAACATACATACCCAATCAAAACAACACAGACTATTAAAATTTAAACTTTTAATCATAGGGTTATTAACCTAAAGAATTATTCAAGCCTAACTTCCTTCATCCACTGGAATAAATTCTAGGAAAGTGAATTAGTAAGGACAATTACACAATTAATTATATAATACCATTAGGTGGAACTTAAATTAACTCATATAATGGCAGCAGTAAATATAAAGGGACGGAAGTCATATTCTGTTTAGAGGAAGATTCTGCTCTAAAGCCCTTGTACAAGAAAGAAATGCCTGCTGGGTGTGGGGGCGCACTCCTGTAATCCCAACACTTGGGAGGCTGCAGCAGGAAGATCCTTGCAATTTTGAGACCAGCGAGGCTATACAAGGCCAGCCTGACCTGCACAGTGAGACCCTGTCTCAAAAAAACCAAAATAAGTAAATAAATAAATAAAAGGAAATGCCTTAGGGATACCATCCTGGTAACTGCCACAGAATGTGTGTATGGATGTATGTATCATAACTCAGTCGCCAATCACTTTTCAATTGAACACCCCAAAGCAGTTACACATGACAAATCTTTTACTCCAACTTTACCTACCACTATATTTCTATTCTCAGTGTTCTAACTCTACTTTATATAGCCTTGTAATAGGTTGCCGCCAACATTATCAAACTACTTTACACATCACTACTATTAGATTGAAAACACTTTAAAGGCAGGAGCCATGTGATTATCTACCAGTCCCAGACTCCAGAACACATGGTAAGCTTAAAATACAATAAATGTATAAAGATGCAATAGTAGCACAAATAAGAAAAAGTAATACTGAAATTACTACCTCAGATTAAAAAAGAAGAATATGTTATTAACATCAGTTGTTTGGGTTAATGTAAGTATAGACCAATATGGCAAACCTATGGTACATGCGCCACAGTGTCATGACATGCTTCCTCCAGCTAACAAATTAATCATTTTTTATCAAGATGCCAAAAAGTATGAAAATGCTTTTTTCTTAAATGGCTTGTCATCACCTTTATTTCAGTTCTATCAGAAATTTGGTCTTCTGGAATACCTGTGACATTATGTATATCACTTAACATTAGCACATTTGTGTTCTGATTTTTGATGTTTTTTTTTTTTTTTTTTGGTTTATTTGTTTTTGGTTTTGCTTTGTTTTTTGGTGGTGTTAAGGCTAGGCCTACATCTCCAGACTTAATATTTTTAAAATAGCATGAATTCACTTTACTGTTTGTAATGCCTATATGTATAACAATTATTATAAATACATGACATGCTGTTTTCTAAAGATGGAGAAAATGTGAGTAGAATAAAAGATATAAGCTTTGGTAACCAGCAGGTAACACACTCCCGTTTATTGCCCCCAAACTATTTGACAATATCAGATCTAGGAAATAAGATTCAAAACTCATTTATTAACTCAACAAACATAAGTACCAATTTTGTACCAGACTTTTTTCCCTAGGTGCCAAAGACATAAAAAAGATAAATGGTCTCCATCCTCTAACTGTCCAATCTTGCATTGAGCTTTCAAAGAAGGATGATTTGCTAGGCAAAGGATTAGACTCAAAGTTTATCCAATGTACAAGTCATTTTAATTTCATTTAATGTGGCAAGTGCGAGTCAAACAGGTTATCCAATCTGGTTAAGGGCAAAGTGGTGAATGGACAAGTTCATTATCCTGTTGTTTGTCAAAAATGGCTCTGAAACTAGCCAAGAAGGGAACTCTGCTCACCCATGAGTTCAGGGTTTGGATATTATCAGATATAGATAAAAAATAAGGCAGAAGGAAACACTAGGACTAATGCCCTTCGTTTTATTTCCATTTATATGTAAGTTATTTATAATTAAATACATGCGTAAACAAAAAGTGCTAGAACCATAATTTCTCTTAAAATTTGCTAAAAATTGTTTTTTGCTCTGGTCACAAAGGATATATCTATTTTAGACATAATTCACATAAGACAAATGACAGTAAATCTTACTAACAACTCACTTTTAACACTTGGCATCTTGATTCTCGGTGACAAAACCATCTCAGACTGATCATAAAATTTTACATTCATTCATTTATTTTGTTCTTATCCTTTTCTCTTTACCAACCTCTACATTCATGGTCACAGAATTCACATAATCACTATTTCTAAAAAGACATTCTGCCAGGGATTTAGCTCAGCAGCATAAGCGTCTGCCTAGCAAGCGCCAGGTCTAGAGTTGATCCCCAGTACCAAAAAAAAAAAAAAAGGACATTCTTCTGCTGCTGGCACTATACATTTATTATTGTTACATCTTATTACTATTCCTTTTAAACAAAGGAAATGTTGTAGCTAATGACATACTTAAATAAAACAAAGTGCACTAAAAATGTCACCAGGGAATTTGATTTAAACTTTACATTCATGTCTGTATTTTCCCCCTGAAATATAAAGTATTGAAAATGACAATACGCTTTCCTCCCTGGAAACAAAGAAGTTTGTACTTAAATTATTGTTTTGAGGACTACTTAGCAAAAAGTCAGCTAGTGTGATTAATAATCACACAAAAAGCCAACATCATTTCAACTCTAAATGCAGTTTCCTTCCTCTTCAATTTCTCTAGCATAAGACACTGCCATCTACTGTCTTCAATTCAAAAGCAATATTCAGATCTACCAAATAACAGGATGACTATGATCTTGCTTTTTAGTTACAAATCGTACCTCGATTTTTACAAATCAGGTATACTGTTATGTTCATTATCATTAGACCAAGTCCTGAACATATTTGTATACTGGCATGCCTGTTTAATAATGGGGTCATTTTCTTATCACCATCTCTGACAAATCAAGAGGACTCCACAGTGGCTCTGGTTATTATGCAGATGTTACCAAGCAGGTACAACAGCACAGTCTCAAACTCTACCTTAGTTGTTTTACAGAGTCTTGCTAATTCATGCTGTCCTTCAATTCGCCATGTAGCCCAGGTTGTCTTCAAACGTATGGCGATCTCAGTCTCCCAGGTCCTGGGATTACAGAGGTGTGCCACCATGCCTGTTTCAACCTCTAACTCTTGGGAACATAAAATAAAAAGTACACCCTACCCTTCAAGTCCCTAGAAATCTCTCAGTACAGGCATCAACACTTAAGAGGCTTGTGTCTGGTCAAGCACTTCCCCTAATTCCAGGTGTGATTTTTAAAGAAAGACAAAGAGTAAACAGCACATAGATTATTAAAAATACAGGGACAGGGTAGGCACTCCAGACATTGTGTCATAGCTTTAGCCCCAATCCACAATTCCTAATGCGGGAAGAAGACAAAGTGAAAGGAACCATATACTATTGTCATTTTATTTTTTTATTTTACTCATTTTTATTTTCCCTCCAAAAAGTGAGTATAACTTTTTAAATCCTTTCATTCATATTCATAATTTAAAAAATGGAAAATAATAGAGTAACAAAAACAGGAATATTCATTATTTGCATTTGTCACATCCTTCTAGAAATCATTTATGTATGCATAGTTTTAAAGAAAAATGGGATTATAACACTTATACCACTTCGTAAACTTTTATACTTGAATTAATAGCAGATAATGGGATACCTTTAAGACTAAATCTAGACCTGTAGTACCACTTAGATGGCCATGTACTATTCTCCCAACTATATCACGGTTTGTTTTAGTAATCTCCTATTAACAGACAGTTGAAATAATCTCAATTTTTTTTTTATAAATACAATGAATGTTGGTTCATGACAAAGTTCTCATCATCTGCGCAAAGTAGAACATGCCTTAATCTCAACTACCGGGGAAGCTAACACAGGAGGACAGCAAGTTCAAAACCAGCATGGGCAGCTTGGTGAGACCCTGGCCTTACAATTTTAAAAAAATATATTTTTTTAATGGGTTGATTAATGTTTAATGTAGTTGAGTGGTTGAGCATTTGCAACTTATCCTGGCACCTAGACTAATGGTAAAGTTGCTGACTTTGGGGGGCTCAGTTAATGTTTAGCCAGCTGTTTCTTTTCGTTTCAAACAAGCTCTGGAAAATTTTGTTGAAGAAAAGCTTTGCATAGTTTATTTTTCACCAGCCTATTGTTGATACAGGCAGTGGGTAACAATATTTATGCTGTTTCAACATTTATGCATATTTGAACTTGTCATCTCAAAGAGGCGAAAGCAATATGGCTAAAAAGTAACTCGGAATTTTTATATTACAATCCATAGAAGCCAGGCATGGTGGTGCATTGCTATAATCCCAGCACTCAGAAAGCTGAGGCAGGAAAATTGTTGCAAGTTCAAGACCAGCATGGGTTAAAAAGTAAGCCCAAGGCCAGCAAGATCCTGTCTCAAAAAGACTAAATAAATAACTAAAATTAAATAAAAATAAAATCCATATAATGTTAACAATTTCATTGCAGCAATCTTGATCAACTAACATTTTTCCAGCTATTGTCTCAACTACCACAAGGTGTCACACTTCCTACATTCAAAATAAAGGCTGGTAGCGAATACTAGTGACCACATATACTGAGCTGAACTTCTAAGATAATCTGAAAAACTTCAGAACTTCTTATATACAGGAAGCAGAACTAGATAAATCACATCAATTTGAACTTCAAACTAAATATAAATGCTATTACTTCTTGACCTTTTGGCTAAGATCAAGTATAAATACAAATGCTAGATTAAAAGTATTTTCAACTACAGATTGGAAAGTTTAGCTCAACAACTACTGTCTTCTCCAATAGTCCCATAATCAACTATGTCAGCTTACAAAAGCTTCAGAACCCCAAAAAAACCTTGGGGAAAATATACAGATGCTAAATCAATCAGAACAGGAACTCAGAACTGCCCCAAGCTTTCTGGCAAATGACCTCACTCTGCCTCAAAAATAGCTCAGATTTCCTGCCCATGCCCTGATAGTATGGGATCTGGCTTAATGCTCTATTCTGTCAAGGAATAGTAACATGGTATAGTTCAAAGAACAGTCACAATGCACCAAAGGCTTAAAAAACTGTAACTTATACACCAGAAAAGGTTGTCCAAGAGTCAGGTGTGATGGCACACATTTGTACTGTAATCTCAGCACTCAGCACTGAAACATTTCCATAGCTGCCTTCTTTTACGACACTGGCATTTTTGAGGAGTCTAGCATCCTCTATACCTCAGCTTATAGTAGAATTCCTAATTTTTGCCTAATGTTTTCTGTGATTATATAAAGTTATGCCTCAGTCAAAATACAGGCTCATTGGGGCTGCCACTAATTTTTGTGTCTCTAACATTTACATGAGCACCCAAAGTGTTGCCCAATTTTCCCACCACAGATTATAGTTTGTGGATCCCCACCCCCACACATTTTCTTGCAACTTATAAGCAATTCTATGGAAAAATATTTTAAGATCATGCAAATATCTGTTTTCTCTTTCAAAACTTCTATATAGAAACACTTTGTATTATTTTTGCCATTTTGTTTGTTTGAGATGGAGACATGCTATGTTGCCCAGATTCTCAAGTTCTCAAGTTTGTGGGCTCAAGTGGTCTTCCTGCCATAGTTTCCTGAATAACTGGGACTATAGGCATGCACCACCATAGCTGGCTGCCAATTTTGTAAATTCAAAATAATCAGAAAATTTTAAAGTTAAAAAAAACTTTTACTATAAAAAAAAACCACATTTAAAACCTGAGTTTCAATTCTATGCTATTATAAAATCTTCATGGCAATAAGAACAAACTAGAAAAACAAAAATCTGTATCTTAGGCTAAAGATTATGCAGAACGGTATTTTCTATTTCAGTATACCTGCAATCACTATCAATGTATAATAAATTACTTTTAAGATTTTGAAAATAATAACCTCCTTAGCTTTTTACTTAAATGATACTCCTTAGGTACAATCTTTTTTGTTTTTTTTTGGTACCGGGGTTCGAACTCACGACCTTGTACTTACCAGGCAGGTGTTTATGCCACTGAGCTAAATTCTGCCTTACGCACAATCTAAATGGCTCTATCCAATAGTTATTTAGGAACAAAACATAGCAATTCAAAGCTTATTAATGTATTACCTTTTACCATACAAACATTTTGCAAGCCAGATGTGCTACTGCCTCTGGAATATGTGTCAATCAGAATTAATAATTTGCTAAAAGCAACTGTATCTTAAAAGAATAGAACAAAAGTAAATGAAAAGTTGTCTCATCACTTACTCTCCAAATCAGAAATAATGAGGTTGTCATGAAGTTTCACAGCTCTGTGTTGTTCTACTTCATCTTCAAGTTCAAAGATAGTTTCTTTCATATCACTCCTTTCTGTCTCTTTTTCCTCCAGTTCTGATCTTAGTTTTTCTAACGTCAAATTCAAATCTTCAATTTGTTTCTTAGCTTCCTCTTGGAAAGCTCGGTATTCATCCTCCACCTATATAATAAAATTGACAGATTTAGAAACGTTTGGTTGCTCTAAACTCTAAAACTGCAATGTTTCAAGTGGAAGCTAGGTATAAAGTTCTATGCATGTGCTCGCTTTGGCACCATATATACTAAAGTACTATTCATGAACTAAAACAATCTGCAAAACTGTTTTAAAAAGTGATACACCACTCTACAAATAAGATGTGATATAAATACTTAAAACTGTGCTGTATTACCAACCAAAATTATATTCAAGTATTACTGAACTTAATTTCCATTCTCTAAAATACTAAGAGCATGCATTTGATCAATGATTAATACACTTTCCTATAAAAATGTTTGATTTGTGAGTTTCAATACTAAATTAAACATAAAAATAAAAAAATTAAAATAATATCTGAAGTATTAGTACATGATGAGGGGCATAGCTCAAGGGTAAAGCACTTGCCTAGCACGCATGAAGTCTTAGGCTTTAATCCCAACTTGGAAGCAGGGACAGTAAGTTTCAGTTCATAGTGCCCCTTTAAGAAATAAAGGTCTGGGGCCAGGGATTTAGCTCAGTGGCACAAACGCCTGTCAGGCAAGTGCAAGGTCCTGAGTTCAATCCCTGGTACTAAAAAAATAGAAAGAAATGAAAAATGTTAGCTAGTTGTTCTTGAAAGGACTAATATCTAGAACATATAAAGAACTGAAAAGAATCAGACCCCTCCCCAAATTTAAAGACCCAATCCAAAAATGGGCATCTGAGATGAACACACATTTCTCAGATGAAGCAGTAGAAATAGCAAATAAATATATGAAAAAGTGTTCAACATTACTGGTCATTTAAGACATGCAAATTAAAACAACACTGAGATTCCATCTCACTCCAGAAGAATGGCTATTATCAAGAAATCAACCAAAAACAAATGCTGGCAGGAAAGTGGGAAAAAAGTGACCCTTCTCCACTGTTGGTGGGAGTGTAGACTGGGGCAACCACTGTGGAAATCAGCGTGGAGGTTCCTCAAAAAACTAGAACTAGAGGTTCCATTTGTCCCAGCTATGACACTTCTTGGTATCTTCCCAAAACAATTAAAAGCATCATACCACAGTGATATAGTCACGCCCATGTTTATAGTGGCACAGTTTGTAATAGCTAAACCTTGGAAACAACCCAAATGCCCGTCAACAAATGAATAGATTAAAAAAAAGATGTGGTTTGTTTATACAATGGAGCACTACTCAAGTACAAAAAAGGATAAACTTAAGGTATTTATAGCCAATGGATGGCTTTTGAGACTATATTCTTAAGTGAAAAAATAAATCAGACAAACATATATGTATCAAATTGTCTCTCTGGTGTGATAACTCAAAGTGTAAATAAGAACCAAAATGTTTAATAGACACTGTGAAACAAGAAGAAACTGTTCAAAAGGAAAGGAAAACTAGGAAGGCAGCGGGGGAAAGGAAGAAAAAATGAGAATAAAAGGATAAAGTGGAAACAAAGCTTTGTAAATAAGGAGGGAAAAGGGGGATTGAAGGGAGGGAAAGAGAATGGGAAAAAAAGAGGAATCCAGATATATCATGTCCAGCTACAAATTTCCTAAGATGAATATGGTCATTATGCATATCTAAATGGTACCAATAAACTTAATAATTAAAAAAAAATCTTGGAAACTGTATCTCTAAAAGTGATCACTAACAAAATAATCACTAAAATGGGAGACAGAGTAATTAGGTAAGACACACACACACTTCCAATCACTTCCATCAGGAGGATAAAGAGGAGTCCAGATACCAGGAGCCCAAGGCAGCAGCTCTGCATCCTCACTATTAAGCTGAATCCCTGTAAAACAGCAGGGCTGAAGAAGTAACTCTAAGGTACTTACCAGCAACAAATCCTAGACTTCCAAGAAATAGGAGACTCGCTATACTTCAAAACTTTTTTTTTTTTTTTTTTTTTTTTGTCTTTTTGAGACAGGGTCTCTCTGTGCAGTTCAGGCTGGCCTAGAGCTCACTTTTTACCCCAGGCTAGTCTTGAACTCCCAACAATCCTCTTGCCTCAGCCTTCCGAGTGCTGGGATTACAGGCATGAGTCATCATGCCCGATTTTCAAAACTATTTTTTTTTCCAAAACTATTTTTAACTCTCAACAAAACTATTTGAAAAACTACAACTACCCCAGGATAACAGATGACTGACACTGCTGTTTCTACAGAATGAAATACTAGTTCTTCAGTTATCTTATACCAGTATATACATAAAATTCTATGACACCCCATAGGCATATCCAGAATGAGGTACAAATTCTAGTGTTAGTTGTAACATTAGCCCAATCTTTCCATAGGCAGGAAAACAGTGAAATACAAGTGAGTGACAGTGACATTATTATGACTACTTTTAACTTTACCATAGCAAATGATACTTATTCCTGGCCTTCAAAAAATATTTGCTTAAATAAAAGCTAATGACACAATAAATAAAGTGTTCCTGGCTCTCAAAAAATATGCTGTGTACAAAAGGTACATAATGCTTCTCCAGAACATTTTTATCTATTTAAACAAACAATACCTTGGCAATGGTGTCCTGCAATCGATTGGCATCATTTCGGGTGTGAGCCAGATCTTCCTGCAGGCTACTAGCCAAAGTCTCTGCCTTTTCTTTGTCCAGTCTAACACTCTCCAAGAGATCCTGAATATCAGATTTGTCTCCAGAGTTATGGATAGAATATAGTTCAGCCACTTTCTGCTTTTCATTCTCCAGCTGGGCCTTTAGGCGATTCATCTCTATCTGGTCACTGGACACTGTGGCTTTGTACTCCTCTAAGGTGGCTGCCAGGGCTGCTTTACCCTTTTGCTCAGACTCAATAATTCGCTCCATGTGGTGACTGCGTTCTTTAAGAGCACCTATCATTTCCTGAGCTTCCTTATTGTCTTGTTCTGCCATTTTCAAAGTATTGCTTAAATGCTGCTGGACACCAAGAAGCTGCTCTCGCTCAAAACGGGCATTCTCTGCTAAGTCCATGTAACGTTGCTCTAATTCCATGTAGCGTCCACTTTTTACATCTTCATCTATAACGTAAGAAATATGATGCTCATCTAGAAGAGAACGGAAATACTCAATCTGTCGACTAAAGTGTTCCAATTTATCACTTTGTTGACACAAGGACTCCATAAGGATGACTTTCTCCTCCCCAAGCCTTTCATTTTCACTATTCAACTCTTGGGTAATCTGCTGCAAATCAGCTAGTTCCTGCAGAGTTGCCTGAAGTTCCTCACTCGTACTGTGCTGGTTCTCTTCCATCTGATGTATTCGTTCTGTTAAGCAAGCAACAGACACTTCACTTGCATTCCCACTGCTCCCTTTACGAGAGCGCTCTATGCTTGGAAGGCCCTCTGACTCTGAAGATGATGGTGCATCAAGGGCATCATCGCTTGAGGTAAGGGGCTGATAAACCTCACTGCACTCGCTGTCTAGGTTGTCCAGAGAGTTACTGTGCTGATGGTCCATGAGTGTATTTTCATCCTGACTCAAGAGATCCTCTACTGACCCGGGTGCAGAGCCTTCCACTGAAGAAGTCAGAGTTCCTCCCCCATCACTCTGGTTACCAGGGGTAATTTCTGGGCTGAGGGATTGATAGCCAAACAGTTTTTCAGAATTGTCTAACCTTTGCTCTAGGGAAAAGCCCAGTGCATTCAACCTGTCCTTTAACATTCTGTTTTCATTTTTCAACTGGTTGAGTTCTTCACGGATGGCAGTATTCTGTTCTTGCAACTGTAATAAAGTGGACTCGACATCAGTTGGCTGGTGAACAATAATGGTTTCCTTTTCCTCAGACTTTTCATCACCCTCAGAGTGATCTTCATTAATGCCTAGCTGAGCACGCATGTCTCGGAGTTCATTTCTCAAATGTAAAATTTCCACATCTTTGGTTTTTGCCAGTGTGAGAAGATCTTTCACTTTAGCTTCTAAAGCAGCTTTGTCACTGATCTGATTGTCCGATTTAGACTTGCTCATACGAACGTCACATTCCATAGCAGTGCGACTGCGGGAACGTTTAGCCAATGCCACGTCATTAGCTCCCTGACCTGCAGAAGGTAGTTTTTTGCTCTGGTTTATTCGAGTACGTTCACGTAATCTTTCTCTAGTAGAACTGGATTCTTTATTACCTGCAGAAGTGCTCCGCTTAGTTGACGAACTTGTGCCTACATGTTTAAAACAAAGAATTGAAGGCAAAAATATTATCAACAAAAACATACATATTTACTGTAGTTTATGCCCCAGGTCCAATAAGGTGCAAAGCTGGGGATCTACATGTTGATTTATGCTTACATTAGTCTTGTCTTACAGTCTAGTTACCTTAAAAATCCAGGTTCCTCAAGACCAGATCACTCATCTTTCAATGAGTAATGAAAAAAAGTTACATACCCAGTTTTATACTTTAAAGGGTAAACTGTATGGAATATGAATTATCTCACTAAAGCTGTTATGTTTTTAAAGATTATATATAATAACTCTAATCCAAAAACACAGTTTTAAACAGCTGGCATAAAATTTTAGTGTAAACTAGATGAAGACAACTGTAGGATTAGTTATCAAGTGGCAAATGAACTACAAAAACAGATGTTTAAAAGGAGGCCACTGGTAAACAAAAAGGGAAAGACAGCCTTAGGACAAACTAAGAATCTAGAATACCTACAAGAAATACAAAAATGATTAAAATAAATGCCAAAAAGTTTCACATCATAGAGTACCAGATAAATATTAACAGAAATATGACAACAGCTGACATATACCTAGTGCTTACTCTAAAGTTAACTACAGTGCACGGGGGTGCAGGTCAGTGGCAGAGGGCCTGCCCAGAACGCTCAAAGCCCTGAATCCCATCTCTAGGAACTCCTCCCGCACACACAAATTACAGACACCAATTTACAGAAACCTCACCAGAACTCTCAAGTAGCTGGAGATGATGGTGCATGCCTTTAATTCCTGCCACTCAAAAACTGAGGCAGACGATTTATAAATTCAAAGCCAGTCTGGGCAATTTAGTGAGATCCTGCTCAAAATTTAAAAAGGGCTAGGAAGGCCAAAATGCCCTGAGTTAGATCCCCAATGCGAAACACACACACATCTGCAATAGATGCTATTATCATCCCATTTTACTACTTAAAAAAGGCAGACACAGACAGATTAAAGAATTTGCCAGTACCAAGCTGGGCATGGTGCTGGTCAAACCTCTTGAGTAGTAGGATTACAGGCCTGCTAAAGCAGGAGGATCACCATGAGTTCAAGGCCAGCCTGGGTTACAGAGTGAGTTCAAGGCCAGCCTAAATTGCACAGTGACCCTGTTTCGAAACAATAATAATAGTGATATCTTAAAAGAACCTATTTCTTTCTAAAGAACCTACTGGTGGTCATCAAGGTTATAGAGATTAAAAGACAAATGATCTCTGTGAAGATGTTTTTAACTATGCCATCAATCAGGCAGTGGAGGACAAGTAATAGACTGGCCACAAGACAGAAGAGGATGAGGAAAAAGAAGCAAGCATGATTCACAAAAGGAAAGGCAAGGTGACATAGTCAACACAGTCGACAGAAGCAGCAGGGAGATATATACAGATCCCAAATGTAAGACAGAATTCAGTACATCGTAAGTCAAAAAAATGTTCTTTTAAAAAAAAAAGGAGCCAGGCATGTAGTGTACACCTGTAATCTCGGCACTCAAAGAAACTGAGGCAGGAGGACTGCTGCGAGTTCACGGCCAGGCTGCGTTACCAAGTAAGTTCAAGGTCAGTCGGAACTGCATGGTGAAACTGGCTCAAAAACACCAAAAAAAAAAAAAAAAAGTTCTTGAGAAAAGAAACATGAGCAAAAGTTTTTCATGTAAATTAATCTAGAGGATGCTACATGGAACATATAAAGAAAAAGTAGAGAAAAGGCATGGGAAGGTAAATGGGTAAAAGTAAAAGAGGGGAGGAGGCAGTAGGAATGGAGGAGGGACAACAGATCTGACAGATTTTCAAGGGAGACAGGTTAGGAATAACAGGATTAACAATGCCCTAAAATGAAAGAGGAAAATGAGGAGAAGAGGAGACAAAATTGAGAGAAGAGAAACTCTCTTACTGGGATTAATGTGATGAGTAGGATTCCAGGTAAAGACAGGTTACCTATCACACACTGAACTTAAACAGCTATCATGCAGTGAGTACCGCAGTAAGTTTAGGTAGAGCAGATGTGTGAAATTAAGGACACTGTTAAAGGGCTGAATTCCTCCTAAATTCGTATGTTGAAGCCCTAACCTCTAGAAGTTCAGAATGTGACTGTATTTGCAGACAGGGTAACTGAGATAAAGAAATAATTAAATTAGAATGATGTTGTTAAGAGTGGGCCCTAATCCAGTATGACTTGTATCCTTATATGAAGAAAAGAACAGGACACAGGCAGAAGGATGGCCATATGGAGACACACTTGAAAAGACAGCAAGCAATCTGTAAGACAAGGAGAAAGACCACAGTTTAATCAAACCTGCCAACAAGTTGATCTTGGACTTCCAGACTCCAGAATTTTAAGGCAATAAATTTCTGTTGCGCAAACATCTACTCTTTGGTATTCTGCTATGGCAGCCCTATCAGACTAATACTGATATACAAGTTCATACTGGAGCAACCAAGTTTTCGGAGAAATGATAAATGACTCTTGAAGTCAGTGGCATGGGTCAGCAGAACTACGTGAATACTCAGTACAATTCTAAAGTCTGGAAATAGGAAGAGACACAAAGGAAAATACAGTACTTCATTTCCAGTTTCCTTCCTGCCACACAGGCTATGGCAGTGGAGAACCTGTGGCATGCGTGCTCTTTATTTTCCTTTTAAGACAACAGATGTACGTGTTTGTTTTTTAGAAACTAAAACATCAGTTTTCAGGTTTAATTGCAGTGTTGACACTTTGCAATAAATAAGTGAGTTTTGAGTTGTAGTTTCTAAAAGATTCTCCATCACTGGGCTAGAATATTAAAGGTGACAATGACCCCAGGTTCAAGAGGTCAAAAAATCAAAAGTTTAACCTTTGCTCCACTACTAGGCTTGAACCCAAAGCCTGACACAAATACAGTATCCAATACATATATATTTACTGAGTAACAGAATGCATGGCCCTTGGCAAGAAACTTAAATTTAGGTTAAATGTAACTTTCTCTGCTCTAAAATCAGAATAACAATCTTTACTTTATAAAATTAAGATATTAATAAAAATGAAGTAATGCCAGCCAGGCATGACAGAATACTCCTGTGATCCTAGCTCTCCAGGAGGCTGAGGCAAGAGGATGCCAAATTCAAGCCCAGCCTGGACATCTTAGGAAGACTGTCTCAAAAAATAAATAAAAGGCCTAGGATGCAGCTCAGTGCAAAGACCCCAGGTTAATCCCAAGTATAGTAAAAATACTAACAACAATATTGCCTGTAAAACGGACTGAAATATTCCCTCGTTAATCATACTGTACCTTTACTAAAATTAAAAGGAAGTGTGATCTGAGATACAAGTAAAATTTCACAGACGGTCAAAGCACTCAATGGGACAGCAGATAAAAGTAGGTTGGGAAAGTTAAAACATACAACAGAAGCTTAATGCCTAAATGATGAGGATAGAAGAGGATCTATTATAATTTCTGCTTTTATGAGATTTCTTATAATCACATGATTTTAGATTTACTAGAAGTACTTAAGATTTTTTCTTTTTAAGTTTTTTTTTAAGTGTTAAAAAAGTAAAATGTGATACTATTTTTACTCAGCCCACAGGATTAATCAATTTATCAGCTCCATTAAATCTAAGAAGAAAACAACTACTACTGAATCACCAAAAGATGCAAGAATTTGAATGAATTTAACATTGATCATTAAAGGCTAACATCACATAAAGAAAGACAACCAAAAGTAAAGTATATCCTAAGAGCTGATCCCCAAGACACACATGAAGGAGTCTTGCTTTAAAAAAATAAATAAATAGGGGTTGGGGATTTAGCTCAGCGGCCTAAGTGCCTGCGTTGCAAGCAGGTAGTCGTGAGTTCGATCCCTGGTACCGATAAAAATGAAAAAGACAAAGAATAAATAAATAAATAAATCTGTCCTATCAGGGCTCAAGTTGTAAATGTCACTTAGAGTAAACAGAAAGGACAAAGGATTAGATGGTCAAAGATATCATGGGGATGTTGTAATACCAAGAAAGATAACGGGAAACACTACAGGTCAAAGGCTAGTTTCACCAAAAATTAAATAGCAATGGAGAAAAAGGAGTAAATCTATAGATTTATAAAAGATGACAATACACATCAATCAATTATTACATATAAATCTTACATAAATTCTGATCAAACAAAACTAGTTTTAAAAATTTACAAGACAGGGGCTGGGGATTTAGCTCAGCAGTATATGCGCCTGCCTTGGAAGCAGGCAGTCGTGAGTTCGATCCCTGGTACCGATAAAAAGGAAAAAGACAAAAAAAAAAAAAAAAATTTTACAAGACAGGTAGAAATTTAAGTACTTAATTTATGGTTTAAAGGATAATCATTTTAAGGACTGATAACAGTATTGTGGCTATTTATTATTTTTTGAAAATAATAAAATATTTGTGGATGAAATTATATGATATCTAGGATTGGCTTCAGATAATAAGAGGCCTTGAAGTGTAGCTCAATAGAACAACACTTGCACAGCATGTGCAAGGGCCTGGGTTCAATTGTCAGCACTGCATGCTGGAGTTACGAGTTGGTAACAGTAATGAAAACATGTACTTTTGCATATGCTTGAATTTAACTTCTTTAAAAATTATATTTAGATGGAATATCCCACATAACAATATACTGTATCTATTTAAACAAAAGGCAACTGTATCTCAGACTGAGTATCACCCATACCTGTGTTGATCTTGGGTTTGTTCTCCACAGTGGTCATGGCAGGGGCTGATGCTGAAGATGCTGCAGATGGGCAGATACTTTTCTTCCCTTTAACACCATTAGTCACTGTTACCCCTCCAGCCATTCCAGCTAAAAGATCATCACTGCTCTTGGTCTAGAAGCAACAGAAAATTTTTAAATAATGACTAGATAGAGTAAATTAAATTTTATTTCAAAACTAAACAAAGCTCTTGACTTTTACTTTAAGAGCTCTACCAAGACTTTCTTGACGTCTAGCAAGCAGTACATCATACTGCATTACAGAAACAGAGTATCTGTATAAACAATCACAGGTTTCTCTGTAAAATATTAAGATTATACACATAATTTTATAAAGATTTTATAAATGCTACTGTGTGCCTACCTGCTCCAGATTCAGTGACAGACGGAAAAAGTGAAAACACTATCCTTATTACTCTTTCATTTAGGATGTGACCGAAGATGGGCATCTCAGTAGAACCACATGGGTTATCTCAGGACAGTTCTATACTGTCACAGAAAGGGCCACCTTGGAATTTCTAGAGGGAAGTTTCATTTGGTTTCCTCAGACAAAGGTTACTATCTAGTATATACACAGAACTCACAAAACAGGATTCCCCTGCAAATGTAAAGACCCAATTAAAAAATGCACATATGAAATGAAGACACTTCTCAGATGAAGAAGTAGAAATAGGAAATAATAGATGGAAAAATGTTCAACATCACTCTCATTTGAGACATGCAACAGCACTGAAATTCCATCTCTTTCTAGAAATAATAGCTATCACCAAGAAATCAGTAACAAATACTGGAGGGATTGTGGGAAAAAAGAAACCCTTCTCCACTATTGGAGGGGGTGCAGACTGGTACAACTGCTATGGAAATCAGTGTGAAGATGCCTCAAAAAAACTAGGACTAGAGCTCCCATTTGACCCAGCTGTTACATTTCTTGGTATCTTCCCAAAAAGAACTAAAAATATCATACCATAATGATATATCCATAGTCACACTTATAGAAGCACAGTTTGTAATAACAAATCTTGGAAACAGCCCAAATGCTCATCAACCAATGAATGGAAAAAGATACAAGTTTTTAAAAATATAATGGAATACTACTCTGCCACAAAGGATAACCTTGAGACATTTCTAGCTAAATGAACGCACCCCTGAGATTATACTCTTTAAATGAAATTAACTGGACACACATGTCAATATCACATTGCTTTTCTGGTGTGAGAAACCAAAAATGTAAACAAGAACAAAAATGTGTAATAGATATTGTGAAATAGGAAAAAAAAAGTTCTAATGGAAAGGAGAACTAAAAAGGGGGAAAGGAGAAAAGAAGAGAGAAGAAAAAATGAGAAAAGAAGGAAAAAATGGAAACAAAGCTTTTGTAAATAAGGAAGGAAGGAGGTTGAGGGAGGATAAGGCAATTAGGAACAAAAGAATTTATATCATAGATAGGCACAAATTCCCCATGATAAATGTGATGTGTATTAAAACTGTACCAATAAAGTTAATTTTTAAGAGCCGGGTATTTAGCTCAGAGGCATAAGCGTGTGCCTAGCAAGTGTGAGGTCATGAGTTCAATCTCTAGTACCACAAAAAAAACAAAACAAAAACAAAAACAAAACTTAATTTTTTAAAAAAAGAGCTATGGAAAAAAAGGAAAACCACTGTGTAATAATGGAACCAAAAAGTTGTTATCTCCTTAAGGTGAAGACACAAGTTAACCTCTTGATTTATACTGTCTTCTGTATGGGGCCATATTAGGAAGCTCAACTGTAATAAATTTATTTCTATAAATTAAAACAGTACATATGAATCTGATTTCTAAGGTTTCTTCTAGTTCTAAGTAACCGTGATTCCATGTGATGAGAACATATCATTTCATTATGAGTTATAATATAACATTACTAAAAGTCAAAATATTTTAAAAGAAGTAGAGGAGCTGGGGATGAAGTTCAGTGGTGCAGTGTTTCGCATGTTCAAGCCACTAGGTTTGATGCTCAGAATCATAACAAAATAAAAATAAGGTAAAACAGGGATCAATGTTTTCAAGTAATAAGACAGACCTAGTCTAGTACTGTACTTTAGAACACATTATAGGTAATGCAGAATATCTACAAGAAAGAGGGAAGAAGTGCATTAATAATGAAAGATCATCTATATATATATACATTTTTTTTCCTTTGTTTGTTTTGAGACAAGGTCTCACTATAAGGTTCAGGCAGGCCTTGATTTCACTATGTAGCCCAGATTGGCCTTGAACTCAGGGTGATTCTTCTGCTTCAGACTCCCAAATGCTGAGATGACAGGTGTATGCCACCATCCCCAGCTCTGTTTATATTCCTTAAGACCTGTTTCTGCTAATAAAAACTGGCTATCACTATGATGCAAAAAAAAAAAAAAAAATCAAAAGTTCTCTTTGCTGTCAATATATAAACTCGACATAGTCTTCTAATTTCAAGTGTCTGTTATACTGTTAATAAAGGTTGAGTATAAGATGATAACATCATATGCTATGGCTCATCAGTTGGGACTCATCTGAGATGTCGCATGGCCAGTCAACGTGCTGTCCTTGGACTGGCTGAGTTTTAATACAGTCATTTTTATTAACATAAGATTTTACCTTTGAGTTTTCTTATGAGAAACTGAAATTTAATACCTAAGATTTAGCAAAGATGTTCTAAATATGAGACAGACTCTTTTAATGTTGTTGTTTCCCTGGCATATTTAAATCTGCACCATCATATTTAGTTGTTTATGAAGGTATATATATATATATCCTTGCCCTGTTTTCATAAATATATATATATATGAAATGTATTTCCCCACCTTCGATTGGCTATGATTTTAGCAGAAGCCTCCGCAAGGTAGACAATGCACTCAGATGCTTTTTTCAGAATAAGTCAAAATTAAAGAGGAAGGGAGGGAGGAAGGAAGGAAGAAAGGGGAAAAAAAAGAAAGGCAGGCTGGCTGGTTTACCTTTGAACTAATTTTGCCTTTACTGTAAGTGAAGTAATCTCGTCGTCTTACTACAATAAGTACGTCTGATAACCACCTTCCATAGACAGTCAGATGAAAAAGTTGCTTAATTGTCACACTTCTCTGGTTGTAATCTGCTTTGGGGTGATGGCAAAAGTAAACGTGTATCTGGGCCCTAAGTCACAAATTCTGCACTTACAATATCTCAGATCACACAGTACCAGCATAAGAATAAACCAGAAAAACAGTAATAATCCATGGGTAGAGAGGTACAGATCTGTGGTAAGATTCTTAGCCTTACATTTGTGAGGACCCTTGCAAAAGGAAAAGTCCATAAGGAGCCCAGAGTGGTGGTACGCACCTGGGTAAATTAGTGACTTAGCATGACTCTGATCAAAATAAAGAATAAAAAGAGATAGAGCTATAGCTAAGTGCAAAGGCCCTGGGTTCAGACCCAAATGGGAGATGGTCCATATAAAGACATCTGATTTATGGCTAAAGAAACTGTATAGAAAACAGGAATTTTCCAGTAAATGGTACTAGGCCAACCCTATATTCACCAAGTGAAAAATTAAATCAAATCTACCCCATACCATATCAAAAATAAGACTAAGGTTTTTAAACTATGACTCAAAATCCTAACTCATAAAGAATTGATCAATTTAAACATGAAATTAAAATCTTTTTTAAAACCAAAGTTTTAAACTAAATATTTTTATAAATTCTTTTTATAACCAAAAAATCATAAATTTAAAAATCCATGAAAATCCAGGTACCTATTATTACCTATTGGCCTAGCAAAAGTATGACAGTGTATTCTTCTGGGAAGGATATAAAGAAACAGGCACACTTTTAAGCTGCATGTGGAAACTATCTTGATATGTAAGCCTAATGAAAGGAATTAGGCAATATATAACAAAGTTACAATGGGGATTAACCTGAAGTCATATCTCCAATAATACAAAAATACATATGCATGAGAGCTACTTTATTGCAGGATTGTTTTTCAGTATAAAATACTAACAGACCTTGAGCATCTATACACAGGAAAGTGAACCCTTTGGTGAATACAATGAAGTATTAGATGGTTACAAAAGGAGACTTCTAGAATACTTTAAATGAAAATAAGCAAAATTTTAAAAAAGTAAAATAAAAAGCTACCTCTTGTATAAGAAAGAGGACATTTAACTAGGTATGGCCAGAGGCGCACTGCTGTAATTCCAGTTATGCAGAAACTGTAGGAAGTTAAAAGTAGAACTGAAAGTTCAAGTCTGTAATTTAACAAGATCCTATGTCAATATAAATAATTTATAAAAGGATGGGCTCAATAGTGGAGTGTCCCTGGGTTCAATTCCAGTACAAGAAAGGAAGCGAGGGAGGCAATTTTGAAATGCAAAGATAGGTGAATATTCAAACAAAACCCTTATATCCAAAAAATGAATGAAACAGAAAAGGAACAGTGTGTGACTTGACTGAATATATCCTCTCGTACAGTTCTGAAATCTGGTCAGTGTTTCACATACCCAAAATAAATAAATCAAATAAAAAAAGGAGAGGGGCAAAGATGGGGACACCTAAAATGGCAGGCAGTACAAACAGGTGGACTTAACTATTTCAAATGAACCACATAACCCAAATTTGGCCATAAATCTGAGGTAGTCAGGGATCAGCATAGAAAGGAAGAACAAATAAATTCCTGGACCTTTAACCTATTACTCAAAAGTATAATTTGTGTTTTCTTTAAGGTGTTTTTATCTGTTAAAACCATGACTCTGCACTTGGACCAGCCTCTGAGGTATAGTGAGTAAAACAAAACTTAGCCTTTATTTATATAACCTTTATTACCTTATATAGATAGAGGTATGTTATTTTTTAGAAGTTAGTAAATAAAATTTATTAGCTCAAAATTTACCTACCAATCTCATCCCACTTCATGATAACAGTTAACTAAAGTAGTATTTAGGATTCAGAGAGATATCCAATTACCAGCCTTTAAGTTGCCCAGTTCCAGACCTTTCCCCTTTGAAGCAACATCTAAGTCTCAGTCCTAAACTGATAGTTATCTAGGATCTAGGAAAAGCAGAACCTCACATGCCTAAAATTGCCACAAAGACTACCATTTCACGTGAATGGAATAAGCCAGGATTC